TTTACATTTAGCCAAGGCAACAACCTTTGTTTAAATTTAACCAAGTCAAGAACATTTGTTTACATTTGGGGTCGCTGACATTTTTGTTTACATTAGATTGGATCAATGATTTTTTTGTTTACATTTTACGAGTTTACTGAGCCTCTTGTTTACATTTACCGAAGGCAACAACCTTTGTTTACATTTAGCTAAGGCAATAACCTTTGTTTACATTTGGGGTCAATGACCTCTTTGTTTGCAATTTATGAGCTTGTGGGCACTTACGTTTCCACATATGTATTTTCATTTAATTAAATTTTGTTACAAAACTTTCTTATAAATAAAACTGAAACTGAAAACTTAACTCAAAATTTAAAAGTTTGTATTACTACGTAGTGTTGCGCTCCATGACATCTGTAACGTGTGACTGTTTAACTACGAGTGAGTTGTAGAAGAAATAGGAGTTCTTAAAAAAACCAACTGGTGTGAAGAGAAAACGAAGAATTATGTATTTCTCTAAAGGTAAAGAAACGGGTAATCGACCTCGAATATTTAACTTCGGTAAAGGTAAACAAAAGGGTTGGACTAAGGTTAGCCTCAGGAAAACATTTAAAAATTGTCGAAATCGGACTACACATTTTTAAGACCATAGATACCCATTAAGAGGGCATTTGAGTCTATGAATGACTCTATAGCGAAAATACCGGTCCATTGCCGCACAGAACGCGTCTAAAAAGAACTATTCGACGGTAGAAGATTACAATCTCACTGTAACGATAAGTTGTATTTTCCGTCCAATGTTCTCACGCGACAGCCGATATGTGGTAATAAAGATGCTCTCTGCACTTTTCTATATTTGTGGCATTGTTTACATAATACGATAAATTAGCAAGATTATCTTTAACGTTATCAACTAATAGCTTTGTTGGAAAAATAGGCATGTGAAACTAAAATAAGCCGCGCATAATTGCAGCTCACCAAAAGTCAAGAGTATCGCAAGCAATATGCGCAAGTGGTGAGTAGTGAGTGTCAAAGAGTCGCTAAACACACCCATGACGACAATATGTTAAACACACGCCCTTTTTTGTATAATAGGAAGTGGGTTGAAAATGCTTGAATACGCGCACAAACACAAATGTGTGATTATATAAAAAGCTATAAAGCATTATTTATAAAAGGCAACCACAACAATTGCAATTGCTATCAATAGCTCATGAATTACAAGTAGTATAACTATTAAGGGTTCAATTTGCAAATGCTTGTTATACCCTAAACAGAGTATATTAAGTTTAACGAGCTGAGTCGATTTAGACATGCACAGCCTCAGTTTTTGAGATATCGTTCTGAAATTGTGCACACGCTCTTTTTTCCCCAAAAAGCTGCTTATTCGTCAGAACCGGCAATATCGGACCACTAAATCATATAGCTGCCATACAAACTGAACGATCAAAATGAGGTTGTTGTATGAAAATATTTTTTATTTGACGAGATATCTTCACGAAATTTTGCACGAATTATTGTTTAAGATAGAGGTATAATCTGTGAAGAAATAGTGCAAATCTAATCACTTTAGCAAATAGCTGCCATATTAACTGAACGTTCAAAATCAAGTTCTTGTATTGAAATTTTTTTTATTTGTAAATGGTATTATTAACTTGTTTTTGTTGTTATTTTAACAAATATTGCACGAATTTTCGTTATTGTTGTTTGAGGTAGCGGACTGCCGAAATATCGAGAGTGAACTCCGTATGTGCATATATGTATGTATGTATGGAAGTCCTTTATTAGACGTGTTGTTGCTTTTATTTTCTATGCTTATGCTAATGAAAGGGCACTTGTTGTAACAAATCTCTGCTTTTGTATATTTTACGCTTAATTTAATGCGAATTGATGTACGAATTGATGAAGTTCAACACAAAGTAGAGTTAATAGGCCTGCAATGCTTTTTGTGCCATTCACTAGCGTTAACTGTTGTTGCAAAGCGCCTGAGGTAGTGTAGAAAATACTGTGTTGGTTTAGCACATCAAAAATATTTGGCAAATATATTTAATGAAAGGACACTTGCCACCGCAAGCACATTTGTCACTTGCCACTTGTCTGCACCGTATAAATAACGAATATATACTTATGCACCCTTACGTTTCCAGGCTTTTTTGGCTTTATTAATCAGCTTTATTGTTTGCTTAAGCGCAATTACTATGCTTTCAAACTACAATGCGGTGGGTGTGTTGCAGCGCAAAAATAATCAAATGGCAGCCACTTATTTGTAAACAAAAATGCGGTGCACACAGCTGAGCTGCAGTTGAGGTTGTTTGTTGTTTGTGTGTGAAAGAAGATCACGCCACTAGATAGTGTTAATGCTTTGATTACAGCTGTTTGACAATTGTATTTTCTTATTTTTTTTTTAGTGAATATCGCTTTAATTGCATAACAAGTGCATACTTAAAATTGGCAAATAAGAAATATGAAAGGCAGCAGTGCACAAGAGCGTGTGAATTGTAGGAATATGGGAAAATGTAATTATTTTATAAGAAGAAAATATGCAAACAGAAGAATAAAATATATATGTAGGTTCGCTGCACTATTTTAATTACTGTTACTTGTGTATATACTACATAACTGGAACTTTACATTACATATGTGTAAATCTGACATATTTCTTTTTAATTTGCATACAAATTGCAAGAAAGTTTTCCGGCCGCATCTTTGTGCTTAATTACTGAAGTGAGCAATGCAACTATGTACTTAAAATTTATTTTACACAGTAATTATAACAAACCGCTCCAGCGATTTTTCTTGTAAATTGCAATTAAGGCTCTTAACACATTTCTTATACGTTTAAAGCGGCTCGCTTGTTGAGCTATACTTCGCAATTCAATTTTATAGCTAAGAATTGTGTAAAAATAATAAAGAACTTTAACTTTGTTTGCTGTAATACTCTTCACAGGTGTATTTCTTATACTATAAAAGGTTATAAAAAGATCTTTATCTTGATTTTGATTGGTCAGTTTGCATTGCAGCTATTTGCTATAGTAGTCCGATCCGAACAATAGCTTCGGAGTTTGTAGCGTTAACGTGAGCAATAATTTTTGCCAAATCTCGTAAAGAAATCTTGCCAAATAAAATGATTTTCCATACAAGAACTTGATTTTGATCGGTTAGTTTGTATGGCAGCTAAAGCTAAAGTTGTCCGATATCGCCGATTCTTTTTTTTTATTTTTTGAGAGAAAAGGAAAAAAAAACAAAAGTTTAGATCGATATTTCAAAAGCTAAGGGACTAGTTCGCGTATATACAGACAAACGTAGAGACAGACATGGCAAAATCGACTCAGCTCGTCACTCTGATCATTTATATACATATGTATATGTACCTACATATTTTATAGGGTCTCCGATGTTACTTCTGGGTGTTACAAACTACGTGGCAAACTCAATATACGCTGTTCAGGCTATAAACATTTTTAATTTTAGTATCCATGTACTAAAAAATCGAAAATCGAACTAATTAATATCGAACGATAGATATTTATTGCTCATGAGTACGAAATAATAACACTGATTTCTAACAACTTTTGTTCTATAATATTATTTTTTAAACATAACTTAAAAAACAGGAGTATACAGTGTAGCGTACAAACGTTAAAATGTGCAACACATATACAAGTAGTATGCAAGAAAAAAATCTGTTTAAATTTATGCAAAGAAATGTCCTTGTACAACTTTTGCAGTCGCTTCAAAAAGCAAGAGCTTGCTTCGCTTGCCGCGCAAAAAACTGTATGGACAATTATGGTAAAGTTTATGAGCAGCGACGTATGCATATTTATGCAAGCAGAAATGTGAGTCGCTGTGCATTTGTATAAATATCTCATTATAAATTCATATTTTGCAATTATTTTTTTATTTGCTGCCGCTGCAACTGCCATTTTGTTCACTTATTCGCACACTTCGTTATTTACATACTTGCTGTAGCTTTTTTCGGTTGCAGCGGAGTGCAAGACTGCTTTCTTTCAACAGTATTTTTATAGCAAGTAATATTTTTGCATACATTTACACGCATATTTATATGAATTGGTGTGCGCTAAGTGCACATACCTTTTGCTTGTATTTTTTTCTTGTTTTTGTCAATTTAAAAAGCGCAGCAGCAACTGCCTAACGAGCAAAAACATTCACTTATTTCCTACTTACTGCCGTTAAGGTGATGCACATGCATATTTACATATACATATACATACATAGGTACATATGTATGTGTGTTGTACATAGCGGTGACTCTGGGGGGAGATTGCTGTTTTTGTATGTTGCAACAACTTTGCTGTACCCAATTCTTGAGTGAATTTTTCATGCTAAAAATGCTGAATTTCTTTGCCATTTATTTATTCATTTTAATTATGCATGCACATGAAAAAATTATCAACTTGTAAACTTATATGACGTTGCTTATACCTATAATATGTATGAGTGTGTTGATGAAGATTTTGGTTGAAGCTGAGGTGCAAAATAATTGGCATTATTAGTAAGAAGTTAATGTACTTAGGGTTGTCGTTTCCACGACAGTCGGGTCTACTGATTTTTATGCGGCCAAGTATTTCTTTCCAACGCCTCGCAGGTCTACATAGTTAAATAGAAATAACTCGGATTTATACACCCGAAGCTGGAATGCATGTATGGGAATTTATTATGCAGATGGAACAATAGATATAGAATAAATAGAATAGAACGGGTTGATTAATTTTTAATGGAAAAATTAGTGAAAAAAATACAAATATATATATTTTTTTATAATAAACTAACTTTAAAAAAATTTTAATATCTTTTTCAATATTTGTATATATAGTAAAATAAAAAATTATATAATTTATAGTATATTATAATTATATAAAGAAAAGAAAAAACATATATTTCTAATATAATAAACTTAAACAATGAGTAATTAAAAAAATTAAATTATTTTCCAATATTTGTATATTTTTATTTGAATTTTGATAATAAACACAAATAAACTACTAACTTTTTTGCTTAAGCGCATTGCTAGCAATCAGCTGTTTAACCAATGTAGTGAACATACCCCGCGCACACCATTGTGTGCTTTTCCACATTAAACAGGCGGATCACCTTAGTAACATAAACAAATAGCTGAACAGCCATCTAAATAAGGATATAAGTATGGAAAGCAAGGACAATCGATCGAAAGAGTAAGTGTAGTGTAGTGTAGTTACAGCTTAGCGCTTATGAAGTCATCAATTGAATAACTTTTTCTGAATTGCAGTAAACGCGGCAACATGAAAAAATATCGCAAAAAACCGCCAACACAACAGAATAATAACACCTCGTCCAGCTCACAGGTGGAGATAGTACGTGGTGTAGTCGATGTGGCCGATTCAAGTGATGAACGTTTTGTTTCACGACGCGGTTGGGCTACTTCACGTCCACAGCCACAAACACGACGCTATTCGCTAGATGATGAAGATAATGATTTGAATGAAGCAGAATCGGCACAAATGCATGCGGGTGATTTCGGTTTAATGGCACAATTGCCGACATCTGTGGGTGGATATTTCCAGTTCTCATCTGAGAAAAACTGGGACACAGTGGAGGGTGAACAATTGTTGGACAGCACTGAAGCTAGTCAGTATTTTACATTAAATTTGAAATTATTAAATGTTGGCTTGCAAACGATACCGTTCTATAAGCGCATGGATTATGCGGCTTCCATGTTTACGCGCGAACAATTGCAGACGATGGAAAAAGCTGCCGAGGTGGCAGAGAAGAACTACCAAAATGTACTGCATGAGCACAAGACAAATCCACGCATTAAAATTAATAGTGGTAGTCGAAAAAGTGGCTCCGGGCGTTCACAGAATAGTGTTAAGCCCGCAAATGTGGAACAAAGTGAAACTAATGCACCCGATGAATTAGATGAGCTGCTGAACTTAGCGACAGCTGCTGTTACAAAAGTGGACATCAGTGGTGCTGGCGCTGAGAATGAAGCGGCGCCTATACATAATGCAAATGAGAATGCTGCCGCAAACAAGGATGACATACAGGAGTGGTTAGATAATGTGTTGGAGGAATAGTTGAAGCAGAGAACGTATATCATTATATTTGTATATTTTACGTTCTCTGGTTGAAGTGAGGACTATGTCGAGATGTTTTTGCAATATAAATACAAAATACATTCGCATATATACATACAGTATTTAGTATGGATGATTGTTTTAATATATACGCGGTTAAGGTATATAAATGAAATTATACTTACCTTAATTATAAATTTTTTTTCTGCATCTCAAATTTACTTAAAGCGTGCACTTCCGGCAGGTGTGAAAAATATTTAACGATACATAGAAACTCACTTGCTTATCACAAATCAAACTATACATATAAACATACCCATTTTCTTGGGAAAAGTTTGACTTTTTTAATTTAACAATTATCAAACAGGTAAATTAACGTTGTTAAAAGTTTAATTTTGATTTTTTAACAAATAAATCGTTCGCCTTTAAAGTAAATCACAGTTAGCTAACGTCAAAAATACCCGTCTTTCGTTTTACATGCAATACCCTGCTGCGAAATTCCTCTGATTTTGTTTCGCAGCTTTTTTCCAATATGTAACTTTAAATTTTTTTGTTTATTTATAATTGAAAACCATATTTTCTATTTTCACATAAAAAATATTTTAGCTAATTTTATTTTAAAAAATTTATGCTAGAGACACAAACAAAAAATACTTAAAAATTAATATTATAAAAATTTTAGTGTATGTGGCAACGCGATAGAACTGTCATTGTTTTGCAGAACGTGTCTTTGTTTTAATTTTTACTATTTTCGTGCCCTTTTCAGTTGAGACTAATTGTGAAATTTGTTATTTATTAGTAATTCGCAGCTAAATTTCATATTACTTAGGAATTGGACACTTGTAAGAGACTATCAGAATCAATATGTCAGCGTTTACATGCATAAATTGCTGTGTAAAATTTGCCTCGGCGGATATACAGCGGGACCATTACAAAACTGATTGGCATCGGTTTAATCTAAAACGTCGCGTTGCTGAACTGCCAGCAATAAGTGCCGAACAATTCCAAGAGCGTGTGCTGCGTATGCGGCAAGAAAAGGCGATCGAGGAGGAAGAGAGTCAAATGAGCTTCTATTGCAATGCCTGCCGCAAGCAATTTGGCAATCAGAAAGCCCATGATAATCACCTAAATAGCAAAAAACATAAAGAAAATCTATTGCGTTTCGAAAAAGAACATAAAGGCGAAAGTGCAGAGATAACGAAAAAGAGTGTAGTGCCACAGAAACCACATCCAGCGTTAGTTGCAGCAGCACAAGGCAAGGGCAAATTTGCATTACAGAAACAACAACAGAAAGAAGATGAAGAGGATGAATACGAAGATATGGATGACGATGATGACGAAGACTATGAGGTTGTGGAAGAGGAGGAGGTATTAACAAATTTAATTTACAAAAAAAAATATTTACATATGTTTGATTATTATTATTTTTATATAGACTGAGCAAATTGATTCAGATGAGTGGGAGAAACTGCCTGTAAATCCGTTGAGCGAAAAGGACTGTCTTTTCTGCCCACACGTCAGCGAAGATATGGTTGAGAATTTAAAACACATGTCCATTGCGCACTCATTCTTCATACCCGATACAGAATTCTGCACTGACTTAGAAGGACTGCTAAATTACTTGGGCGAAAAAGTCGCAAATTACTTCATATGTCTCTGGTGCAACGATCGCGGCAAAACATTCTATACGCTAGATGCGGTACGTAAACACATGTTAGACAAAGGGCACTGCCAAATGTTGCACGAAGGTGTAGCATTAGCCGAATATGCAGATTACTACGATTACAGTTCCAGTTATCCAGATCACGTAAGTGTGAATAAAATAATAAAGTATTTAACTTAAATTAATATGCTATATAACCTAATAGCAAGAAGGCATGAATGTCGATGAGGAAGTGGTGCCCGATCTGCTTGATGGCGATGAATATCAATTGGTTTTACCCTCCGGCGCTGTCATCGGACATCGCTCACTGTTGCGCTACTACAAACAGCGACTCAATCCAAGTCACGCGCTTGTGCCGAAGAAATCGGATCGTCGCCTGCATAAGGTGCTTAGCGAATATCGCGCTTTGGGCTGGAGTAATATGCAACAGCAAGCGGCTGCGCGTAAAGCGCGCGACTTACACGTCATGAAGCGCGTACAAGCGAAATGGCAAATGAAACTTGGCTGCAAAGCCAACAAATTTCAGAAGCATTATCGCGCGCAAGTCATGTTCTAAACTGTTGGGAAGCCTTCTTAAAACTTGCTGGTTATGCTTTTAAGTGCTTTTATGTTAAAACTGTAATTTTCAAGTGAAGAAATTTAGCATAAAACAATTTGATTTTGATTGTGGTAGCTAAAAGTTATGCGCCAAAACTCTAAAGCCACTTTTATACCTATACTCGTAAATACATACCTATGTATATATATGTGTACAACAATGTCTTTTAGCATATAACATAGCTCAAAGTAGTAAATAAATGACGTTGCGGCGGTTGTGCTAAAACAATTTTTAACTGTATTTTCTTTTACTACGCATGTGTAGTTTCCTTTAGTTTACCGTAAATTAGCGGTACTCTCTTTTTTGTAGTGGAAAATAAAACTGCAAAGTAGATTAAATTTTTTTTGACTTATCATATATCATATTTGTATATTCCTTATGAAATATATGTATGTATATATACTATATGTGTAATATAGGCATTGTAATTAAATATTTAGTATTTATGTGTGTAGAGATTTTTGCGCACGTAAACGTAGTTTTTTTTGTAATTTTTATTTTTTTTTTTTCTTAAGCATTGCTTGCTGTTGTTATTGTTATGCCATGCGGGCATTTTTCCTAGACTGTCTTAAACTAATAATTTATTTATTAATAAATTGCGAGAAAAATAATATTTATATGCATATGCAAGTATGTATGTATGTAAGTGACTACACTAAAATACAAAGTAAGGTAGTGTCGATTGGCTGAGCAAAAAATATGAAACAACAAAACAAAAAAAAAGTAAAAATAGTATGTACGTTGTTGCATTTACAAGTTTACAGCGCAAAAACAAAATAATAATAATAAGAAATACAAATAGTCTAAATAGAATTATTACTCTATATTATTTAGTTAATCTGTTTCTGTTGTCAACAAATTAAGTTTGACGTTACGAATATAATCGTATACGTGCTGTTTTACGTTAACGTTAATAACCATTGAAGGCAGGCAGGCAACAAAATAACTGTATTATTATAGTTTTAAATTACAACTAATTAAAGGTAGAGAAATTGGAACGAAATCAAATTTCTTTCACAATCTGTATAGAAATGTTTGCTGCCGGCAGTTGTTAGCACAATTTCATAAGTGCACCAAAGAATATTTTGTATATAAATATGTACATATATACATATGTATGTATGTATATATCTGGGAGGGAAAAGTGCATGTGATTCTTCTAAATATGCGCCTGGTTGGCTTTCTTGATTTCGCTGTGTTTAGATACAACTGTATATATGAGTTGTTTGTGGACTGTAAAACCACCAAGTGAAATAGCACACTTATCAACGCATTTTTATGTGGATTGCATGTGTGTATCGTTAAAAATGTGTATGCAATATTGTGGACACCTTTTTATACACGCTGTTTTGCAAAGCAGAGTGAAATTTGTAGTGGAACGCATGTGGATTGCATTACAAAACGCGCGCAAATGTTTTGTATGTTTTAAAACGCTATAGAAACTTAATTTTAAAGCATTAAACTTTGTAAAATTGCATACAAAAGTAAGTGGATCATAATTCAAATTGCAATTAATTGTTTTGTGATATTGTTTGTTTTTGGCAATGTTTTCAAATATCTAATGTAGAGCGCAGTTTCGTGAGAGATTTGAATTTAATGCATACTATCCTTTGCTTTACTCTCCACAACTTCCAATTATGTATACTTGTTAAATTTGCAATGGTAACTAGACTGATTTAACGTAAAACAAAACAGAAAATGCATACCTTATTTTGTCGAAGCTTGACCGCAACTGCTGAAACTTTTGTGCTTCACTCGAACTAACTGTATGTTCATTAACGTTTCTGAATAATTCATGGCTATAAACTTCCCTGCACAAAATATGTATACACTCCAATGGTTGTGGGTAAAAATCAAATACTTTGCAAAACTTGCAAGTTTAGGCTTTTCGTGTGGCACATATGTGTATGCCAATTTTTGTGTGTTTCAAATAGTGCTTAGCGTTTGTACAATTAATAACAACACAAAACTTTTTTTGTGTGTGGAACGTATGTGGATTTCATACGAATTTCAAAATTTTGCATTTTTTGCATTTCATCATGCCTGCTAGAAATGAAATACCAGCAATCACCATCACTGGCGCAACGAACTGCCAAGTCCACACTTTTTACACATCGAACTTTGATTGCTTTGACAATTGCTCGCATTTGCGTTCCAGGTAAATGCGCTGTGTGCCTGGTATGGTGCTTGTGGTGAATTTCGCTATTGTTTAACGCGCTTTTAAAACTAAATACAAATATATTTATAATATGCATATACTCGTACACATAGTCTGTATGCCTATGCACATAAATATACATAGTATGTATGTATGTAGTATATATCATTATCAACTAATTAATGAATAACTACAGGACTCTGCTGAACACAAACGCCTACCATAGGCGACGAGGCATCAGCACCGCCAGCACTGGAACCGCTGGTGCCACTGACAACACCACCACTGCCGCCGCCAGCGCCAACATTGCCGCTGACGTTACTCATGCCACCGCCGGCACTGCCTGATATGCTGGCGCTCATGAGGCTGCTGCCGCCACCAACGCCTATCAAACTACTGTTGCTGCCGCCAAAGCCGCCACCCACGCTGCCACCACGCCGCTGATGTTGTGCGAGTTGTTGCTGTTGCTGTTGCTGCTGCAGGTGGTGATGCTGTAGCGACATGTCACCGACGGACATCATATGCTGTATCGGCATTGTGCTGTACATATGAGCGGACGCTTGCGACTGTTGATGTTGCTGTTGTGCTTGTTGCTGCTGTTGTTGTTGTTGTTGAAACAACAGCGATGTGTAGGAGAGCGGTCCAGAAGCATTCCCAGCTGCGCTGGCTGTTATGACGCTCGAATCGGTCATCATAAGATGGGAGGCAGCCGACGACAGCGGATGATGCACCAAATCGGCGGGCAGTGAGGTGGGTGCATAGCTGTTGTGTTGCGTGGGCGCTTGTTGTTGCTGTTGTGCGGAAGCGAGGTGTTGCTGTTGTGTTTGTTGTGCAGCATGTGGCGGCTTCTGTGGCGGTGCAATAAATGTGTGATGCGCTGCACGCATGCGACCGGCGCTACTATTGCCGCTGACGCTGCCGCCGCCACCGCCGACACCACTGTTACTGCTATTTGAGGACGACGAGGCAGAGGCGGAATTGGACATGGTGCTGATGAAGCGCGTCGGCGGTGGCATCTGCGGCGGATCGCAGTCCATGGCATGCGGATAGCTGTTACTATTATTGTTGTTGTTGTTGCTCTGATTGCAATTACTATTGCTGCCGCTGCTGCCAATGCTATTGTGACTCGACGCCGAAGGCGATAGTAACGCCTGCAGACCCTGTTGCGCTGCCAGCAGCGCCGCAGCTTGTGTTTGCTGTTGCTGCTGTTGATTCTTATACATCGACTTGGGCATGGAGTACGCAGCGGCGTGTGCGGCATTGCCGCGCAAACCGCTGCGCGCGTGCAGCAAGCTGTTGGGATGATGGAGGCCTGTTAAACTGTTGCTGGCGCTCAAACTGCCGAGGCTGTTCGGTTGCTGCTGTTGGCTGCCGCTGTTGTTGCTGTTGCTGTGCGCGGAAGAATTGGACGCGGCTAAGTTCGAGGAGGAGGAGTGCGTGCCGAGATGCAGAAGCATGCCTGTAAGAGAGAGCGAGAGAGAGCGGGGTATTTAAAATAGTGGAAAATTTGCGCAATAAAGAGAGTAATAAGTTGTTGTACAGATGATGGCAATGAATTGAATTGAAAGCAATAAAATTAGTATATTTTTTTTATCAAAAAATATGATTTTGTAACTTACATCTTCTATATTAAAAAATATTATTCAATGAAAAAATTAACAATACATATATATATATATAAATAATTTTTCTGTACATAAATTAATTTTTTTTTTCAATAAAAAATTAATAATTATTATTTTAGCAAGTAATTCTTTATAAAAATTTAAAAATATAATTATAAATTAAATATAATTATTAAAATTTATACTAAATAATTATTCTCAATATAAAATAATAATTATTATTTATTAAAATAATTATAAAAATACATATACATACATATATAAAAATAATTATTCTGTATATAAATTAATATTTTTTTCAATAAAATATTAATTATTATTTTAGCAAGCAATTTAAACAAATAATTATAAAAGAAATATAATTCTTAAAATTTATAAAAAATAATTATTCTCAATAGAAAAAATTTATTATTCTCGATATGAAATAATAATTATTTCAATGAAATATTATAAATAAATATTTTTATTTTTCTTATTATTTTTATAAATACTTAATAAAAAAAAATATTTTTAATGGTAAGTATTATACTCTTATATGAAATATATTATTAATACACTTGTTAATACATATGTATATAAAACACCTTACATACTCAGCTTCCGTCAATAGCTGCATGTGAATGAGAAAAAGCAAGTTTTTACGTAAAAATAATTGAATAAAAATGCGCACAAAAATTGCGCAATAAATCAACAACATTTTTTGGTTGATTATATCATAATATTTTTATTAAAGATTTTGCAATTTTTTTGTTAATAATTTTTTTTTTCAACTTATAATGCTTATTCTCGATTTCCACTCTTAACTGTTGCAAATTTTCAGCTTGCAGTTGCTTTAATTATTATTATTTTGTTAGGTTTACATACTTAAGTTTTTTATTTATTATTTTTATTATTTGCATTGTTACTTTTATTAATATTATTATTTGTTTATGAGTTCTTAATGCTGTTGCTGCTGGTTTTCCGTTTTCAATTACTTTTTTTGTTGTTGGTAATAAGTGTTTGGTTTTTTTATAATTATAAACTTAAACTCATCAAGTTTTATGCTTAAGTTTGATTTTTATAAATACATACATGCATTTGTGTGTGTGTGTTTGCTTAAATTACGCTCGTTCGCCCATTTCTTTAATATTACTATTTGCATTTGCTTTATTTTCCTTTGTGTTTTCGAAAAATATGCAAACGAATATTTATATTTGTTTTTGTGTTGCTTGTTGTTGGTATGCACTTACATCTGCGGCAGATATCGATAATTTTTAATTGAAAAATATTAAATCAAATTCGTGAAAGATTAAAAATATAAGAGTATTAATACAAAAAAAATTACAATTTTTTAAAAATAATATTTAATTTTGCTAAAAAAATAATTTTTGTCAAAAAACAAAAAACTGGTAATTAAAAACAAAAATTCGCAAAGAATGAAATATTAAACTTTTTAATTAAAAAAAATTTTTTTTAAATGTTATAAAAATTTTATGTACCTTTGGTTCATGTAAAAAAATTTCCTATTAAAAATAATAATAATGAAAATTAAATAATATTAAATTATAATAGTATTAAATTCTTCTAAAAATTGTTGCATATTAAAAATAATAATAAACAAAAATTAAATAAAATTTGTAAGAAATTAAAAATTTAACTTTCTTTAATTAAAAAAAAAATAATAATAATAATTCAATTTTAAATAATATTTAATTCGTCTAAAAACTATTTTCTATTAAAAACAATAATAATAATGAGAATAAACAAAAATGAAATAAAATAATAATAATAAACCAATATTAAATAAAATAATTAAAATAAACAAAGCTGAAATAAATTAAATTATTCTACAAATTGTTTCATATAAAAAAAAATAATAAAAAATAAATAATACAAATTTTTTGAATTGTTAATAAGTTTCTAAATTTTTAAGTTGTGAATATTTTAGAAAATCTTTATTAAAACATGTACATGTATGGAAAATATATACTTAATAATTAAATTGTTGAAAAAGTCTAAAAAAAAAAATATATAAGAATAAAAATGTCTCAAAAATTAAAAAACAAAATATTATAAATTCAAAAAAAAAATTTTTTTGAACTTATTGTCAAAATATTTTGTAAACATACAATTTAAAAATCGTAAGCAAACAAATATAATATTTATAAAAATATTTTTAAATACTAATTTGGAAATAAGTCATTTTTTTTTTTAATTTTCAAATGTAAAAAAAGTAAAAAATAACAATAACTAAACAAATCATAAATTTTATATAATAATATATTAACATATATACAATTGTAAAAAAGTTTTAAAAAGCGAAGAATATTATCATAATTCTTATAGTGAAAAAATTTTTTTAAAGATATTTAATAGTTGTGATAATAAGAAAGAAATAAATAACAAATAAAACAAAAAAATCGTATACAGCTAAAAAAATTTACGACCGAAAATTAAAAAAACACTATGAAAATTCTTATTATAAAATTAAACAAAAAATATTTTAGCAATACCTAATTGTAAAATTTATTAAAATCTTAAAAAATAAATGAAATATTAGTAAAATAATATAAAAATATGTTTAAATGTAAATTTTAAAGTTAGAAAATTTGTTTTCATTTTTCATATGTGAAAATAAAAATTGAAAATCATAATTAAAAATATAATTTTGTTCAAAGATATACATATGAACAAAATTAATTAAGAAATCAAAACCTTTTTTTCAGAATATATTATATATGTATGAACAAGGTTAATTGTAGAAAGTAGCAAAAATAAAAAAATTTAATTATTTTAATTAAAATTTATATAAACTTGGAAAAAAATACGCAAATACTTATTTTAAAATAAAAAAGATGCTGTCTTTAATAGCACTCGGTTGTAAAAAAGATTAATTAAAAAAATTATGACAATTTTGTGTAATTAAAAAAAAACTATTTTTGAGAAAATTGAAAAAAAAATATTTTAGAAAATTAACAAAAAAAAAGTTTTTTAAAATGAAAAAAAAATATTTTAGAAAATTAAATAAAAAAATTCTTTTGAATATTTAAAAAAAATTATAAGAAATTTTTTTACAGAATTTTTTTTCCTCTAAATTTCAAATTAATATTTTTGATATATTCCGTAAACTGTTTGGGTCATTGTCTGTCTGCCTGTGTGTTTGCACACATTTATTTATTTGTTATTGTATCAAATTTTGTCTGCACGCAATTTCCGTAATTATATATGTATGTAGTATGTGTAATGCAAATATATTTTTATTTACTTTCTGTGTTTTATTTGCTTGCTCTTGTGTACGCGTAAATGCTGTTAATTTAATTTTATTTTAATTTTAAATAGTATAATTTTTTTTTTAATTTTTATATTTTTATAATTATTATGGTTTTTTTTTATTTTTATTGTACTTTATTTTTTTGTTTTCAATTTTTATTAGAATTATTTTTGTTTTTTAATTTTTATTAGAATTATTTTTGTTTTTTAATTTTTATAATTATTATTATTTTTTTTTTGCTTTTTATTATGTATGTAGGTATTTAGTTTTTAACATACTCATCGCCTAAAATAATGTTATTGTAAACTTTTTACATGTGCTGCTTCATGTTTAAATTATATTAGTTACCTGGTATGTATGTATGTATGTAGTAGAGCTAGTTTGTTTTAAATGTATGCTTTTGGTTTGGTAGTTTAATTTTATGCTTACTAAAATTAAATACTATGATTTGTGTTTTCTCAATGAATTAGAGATAAATTTAAATTACTTTTTTTGCACATAATTATTATGCTTACTTTATGTTTAGTTTAGTTGGTATACTAAATATATTAACTTTTTTGTTTTTCGCCTTTTTTGCTAGACTTAAATATTTACTGTTAATATTTATAATATAAAGTTTTGTAGTTCAACGCGGGCATACGTTTCGTTTGCGGGTTATTTTTTACAGTGTAGCGCTGAAGTAACATTTTCGTTTGCAGTACAATTTTATTTCATTATTTCAATTATATATTATTTTTACTTATTTAGTTTTTTACAATTGTATTTTTTAGTTTCTTTCTGATTTTGCTGTTTGGTAGAGTTCTATTTTTTATTCTGTTTTTGTATTAATTATTGTTTTTTTTTTGTTAATTTTTTTTTATAGTTTAATATTTTTTTTTACAAATTTTAATTTTTTTATAGTTTCATATTTTTTTTATAAATAATTTTTTTTTAAATCAATTATTATTATTTCTTTTATAAATTATTTTTGCTTTTTATAAATTATTATTTGCAAATATATATATATTTTGTAATTATTACTTTTTTTGTTAATTATTTCAGCGGCTTTTGCATGAATTCCTTTTGTAGTGGTTTTTCTTTCTTATAATTATTACTTTGTTGGTGTTATGGAAAATGCTGCAACTTTTTCATATTTATGTCTGTATGTATTTCAATTAGCTTATTTGTTGTTGTTTAACTTGTTTGTGGGTTTCTGTACTTTTTTTTTACGTTTCATTTATTTTTACTCATAACTACTATGTATGTATGTATGTATTGTATATGCATGTCTATATGTTATGTATGTAGCCTAAATGTGTGTTTAGTGAGTAAATTGTAAATTCTATGGTGGAAAATTCACCTATAAATGCAATTCATTTCGTTATGCCTAATTCATTTCATTTCTGTTTCATAAATCAATTGTTTTTATATTCACTCATGCATGTCTATTTGCTTATTTTTGCATTGTAAGTTTGTTTTTATTTTGTTTTAGTTTTTGTTTTTTTCAAAATATGAACTTATGCACTTTTTACAGGTTATCGCGTAGATTAATTTACATTACTATTGCTGAAAGTACATTTCATTTTTGTTTATTTGAAATTTAAC